TCCTAATTTACTTGTCTTTTTTTGCCAGTCCTGGGGCTTCAACTCAGGGCCTGGACATTATCCTTGAGCTTCATTTGCTTAAGGCTAGCACTCTACCACGAGCCACAGCATCACTTCCAGCTTTTTCTGTTGATGTGGTACTGAGGAATCGAACCCAGGGCTTCATGCATGCTAAGCAAGCACTCTACCACTAAGTCACATTCCCAGCCCAAAGACAGAATTATACTGAGAGCTGGTGGTAAACACCTGTAATCCCTAGCTATTCAAGAAGTTGAGATCAGCTAGGTGCCAGTGGCTCACACCTGTAATCATAGTTACTCAGGAGGCTGAGATCTGAGGATCACACCCAGGCAGGAAAATCTATGAGACTCTTATCTCCAATAAACCACTCAGAAAACCCGAAGTGGTGCTGTGGCTCAAGAGGTAGAGCACTAGCTTTGAGCTGAAGAGCTGAGGGACAGCGCCCAGGCCCAGAGTTCAAGCCCCATGACTGACAAAAAAAAAAAAAAGTTGAAATCTGGATGAGGATGGTTCAGTCAGCTCTAGCAGAAATGTCTATCTCCGATAACCAGAAAAGCGGCTGAAGTGGTAGAGCTCTAGTGGTGAGGTAGGAAAACCAAAAACCAAGCAAACCTGAGGTCCCTGAGTTCAAGCCCTGGTACCAAAGTGGAGTCGGGGGAGGCATAGGTAATATAGAATGAAGCTCATTCTTGAAAGGCTGATACTTGAGTTGGGCCTCCCATGCTTGGAAAGCAAGCTGATTGGGAACTCCTAAATCTAAATACCTAAGATCTTCTAGCCAACAGACTTGTGGTCCAGAATTGGTCCAAGGCAGTGTCTATACTAGAAGAGAATGCAGATTCTTCTCTTTTGGATTCTTTGTCAGTTGTGGGGCTTGAACTCTGGGCCTGTGTGCTATCCCTCAGCTCTTCAGCTCATGGCTAATGCTCTACCACGTGAGCCACAGCATCACTTCCAGTTTTCTGGTGATTTATTGGAGATGAGTCTCACGGACTTTCCTGCCTGGGCTGGCTTTGGACAGTGATCCTCAGATCTCAGCCTCCTGAGCAGCTAGGATTACAGGCATGAGCCACCAAATCCTGGCTCTCTTTTGGATTCTTTTGCAGGTAACTCACTGAAATGGTACCTCAACTCCACCCTCCAGTTCCCAGGATGCCCTAAGACCCCCCATAGAGACCTGCGCTGTCCACAATGAACAAATGGAAAAACCATTCCTGAGGGATCCTATGAACTTTACCCAGGTCAAAGACCAGCAGGTCCAACTAGAGACTTCCTTCCTGCCTCTCCCATTTATCTAGAATCTTGTCTAGTTCAAAAGTCCTTGAGCAGACCCACTTCTTCCAAAGAAAGGTCACAAGATTCAGGTACCAGTGGCTCACGCCTGTCATCCTAGCTACTCAGGAGGCTGAGATCTGAGGATCACGGTTCAAAGCCAGCCCAGGCAGGAAAGTCCATAAGACTCTTATCTCCAATAGAGCACCAGAAAACCAGAAGTAGAGCTAGGGCTCAAAGTGGTACAGCACTAACTTTGAGCAAAGAAAAGAAAGAAAGAAAGAAAAAAAGCCACAGGATTTGGCAGGGAACAGAGATATTTCCATCCCCCCTGCACCCCAAAGATGGAAGGGTGGATGTGGTGGAACAAAGGCCTGAAATCCTCCAATGTTTTCTTCCTGCTGCTCTCCTGGAACTCCCTGTTGATACTGGTTGACAGTCTCATTTAAGTTCAAGGCAATGAGTTAGATGTTCAGTAGAACTTCCTGAGGTCAAGAGGACAAGGCAGGGTCATTTTCTAAGCCCTTGTGAGGCCTAGGAGAGGCCTGTATCCTTGAAAACTTGAAGACAGCCTCTCCTAGGACAGGGCAAGGGTTAGGTTGGCAGTACTGGGGTTTGAACTCAGGGCCTTTGGCACTTGCTAGGCAGATCCTCAACCACCTGATCCATGCCTGTGGCTGGCATTTGTTGTATTGAGACAGATTCTTAGTGTAGCCTAAGATGGTCTATTTGCATACTCTAGTGCTAACTCCCAGTAGTTGTTGGACTTTCAACTCCCCACCCCAACCCTGGAACTGTAGCTCTATCTGTTGGGAACTATGTATTGGCTACTCTGCCCAAGGGCAGAGCAACCTATCTATCTATCCAAGGCCAACATCAAGGGGGCTGGCCAGTCTCAAGCCCAAAGACAATGAAGACAGGAGCTGGGGTGGAGCTGTATCCATCCTTCTCTTCACAGGGGCCTGTGATGAAGGATTCCTGCTGAAGAGCTGCCTTACTATGGGATGCAAGACTCACCGATTCTGTCTGACTCTCCATCTCCTCCCCCAAATAAGGATATTGAGGATACACGAGATAGGTCTTAGCTGGCTCCAAGGCAAAGTATCAAGGGGAGTTTACTTGTCAGTACTCCTCTTAAGAGTTTCTGTGAAGGCAAAGAGAAATCCCCACCTCCACCCTGATTCATTCCCCCCCCCCCCAGCTGGGGGATGGGCCTGGCCAGGTCCCTTTCCTGGGACCAACTCATGTTTAGGGCAATCAGATGCTCCCAGGCAAGGGCATTGTAATAAAGACACTGCTTTTATTTAGTTCGATATGTTTCTATACAGAATGCAGAAAAACACATCTTAAAATCATATAGAAGGAAATAAAAACACATCAGTGGTTGGTGAACAACTTGAATGGGAGATTGGCTCTCCGTCTCAGAGTCCAATGGCCATTACCAGCCCAGTGCTCAGGGAGGAGGGTGCCTGCGAAGGCATTGTTACGGTTGTTATTCTGTTCACTGCCCCGTTGCCTCCGGTTGCTATGGCAATGAGCCATTCTGGGCCAGCCTCTTCTCTGCGTGGCAATGCCCAATGGTGGGGTTGCTAAGGGCAACGGAGCGATTTGGAAGGCCTTTTCAAAGCCCTCACCTGGAACATTGGGGGGGATTGTTTGTATTTCTTGACAAGGTCATCAGCAATTCCACCAGGTCAGATCCCACTTGCGTTCGCTCAGTCTGAGGCATCAGGGAAAACTCCCAGCGTCCATCTGGGACTTGGGAGGCACAAGGCCTGGCCATCAGCCATCCTTGGAGCGCTCATCTACAGACTGTCCCCACACAACATGGGCACTGCTCACTCCCGAGTACCCTGCTAAAGGAGCTGGGGGGGGGGGGGGGGGGGAGGCGGGCCAGGAGAGGGGAGGGGGTGGGGGCCCTGTGGGAGAAGGCCCCAAGGGAACCACACTCTTTGGAGAACAGCAGAAGAGAGATCTGCTGCTCCTTCCCCTCTGTGACAAGTCAGTCGATTATGGCTTAAGAAAGAGCTGCTCCGGGTGCAAATGGAGCCTGGGTCCAACCCATCCACCCTAGATCAGGGAAGGGATACATTATTGCGAAAGGCATTCCTCCCTACAAGGTACCCCAAAATAACTCAAGACGTCAACAAAGTCATGCTCAAAATGGGTTTCTTCCAAAAAGGAGGAGAGAATCGAAGCCGAGTGGGTGCTCCTGAGTCATGGGACAGAGATGCAGATGGATGGACGGATATTCTGCTAAAAAAGGCAAAAGAAAAAAGAAAAGGAAAGGGGGAAAAAAAAAGTCCCAGTGTAATTCTAGAATTGAACCCTTTAGGAAAAAAGGGGGGGGGGGAAGGATCAAAATGAGCAAAGCCGTCAGTTCCGTGGATTTGACACTAAGAGCTTGTACAAACTGCCGTTTTTAAGCATTACCGTTTTTTTCTTTTTTTTTTTTAATAAAACAATTTGAGGCTGTATAAAAACTCGAGTAAAAAATTAGCTTTGAGAGCCCACAGATTTTTTTTTTTTTGTTTTTGTTTTTTTAAACTATGAACTATTGCTGGCACACTCTGCCCCAAGCCACCAGACCCTTTCCGGCAGCCGGTTCGAGGCCCGAGCCTGGGGACTGCGGCGCCAGAGAAAAGGGATGGGGTTAGGGGTGGCGGGGGGGGGGGGGGGGTGTCAGGGTGGGGATGTGGACTGGTGGGACAAAGCGGCCAAGGTCAAGTGAGAATAAAGAGCATCACATGACATAAAAATATTGCATCTTCACCAAAAGGTCCCCCACTGAGTGTTTCAAAAACCATGGTGTTCCTTTTTGGGAGGGAGGGGTGGTGGGGGAAACCACAGAGAGAAGGAGAAAAAAGAAAAAAATTGGTTGATGTGGTCGAGTCCCTCGACCTCCTCAAGCGCGGCCCCTCCCCCCGCCCCCCACGAGCAGCTGGCCCACCTTGGAGCACCTAGATTGGGGGCCACAGCCATCACTGCCTCTTGGAGTCCCTTTCTCCATGGAAATGAAGACCCCCCTGGGTGGCAGGCCACTAGCGTGCATGGGGTAGAGGTGGACATGTCCTCGGCCCAAGAGGCCCCTCTGGTTGCCGGCCCCTGGCAACGGTGGGAGAGCAAATCCAGCACCAGGGCCCTGGCCCCCTAAGCCAGGGCCAGGAGGCCCCCCAGTCAGGCTCCCGGAGATCAGAGCAACCAAGGTGACCAAAGTGTGAAAAAATAGGATTCCTTTGATAAAAAATACTGTCCCTTGGTCTTCTCTTTTTAAGTTTGAAACACCCTGGGAGCTTATTTTTAGCAAAGCAATTCCCCCTTTACCCACCCCCAAATTATACATCACAAGTGTAGGTAAACAGCAGATTAAATGTAAAAACTGAAAACCGTAACTTCTGAAAAGTCCTTTTGACTTGAAATCTTTAGCTACTGTTCTCCATGTTACGACCTGCAGCTAGAGACACACGTGAATAGAAAAAACAGTACAGTTAGTGTTAAAGGCAAAACGCAGAGGGCTGGGGGGCGTGCCCAGCACTGCCTGCAAGTTCATTCACGGCTCCTCGCTCCCCCTCCAGCTACTTCTACTCCAACAGTGCTTTCAGAGCCAGCCATCAAAAATGCAGCGAAGAATTGTCTATGAACAAACAAAAAGCTGTTAGGCAAAAAAAAAAAAAAAAAAAAAAAAAAATTAAAATTAAAATAAAAAAAATTAAAATTAAAAAATTAAAATTAAAAATTAAAAAAAAAAGTCCCCAAAGTTTCTCCAGCTGCTTTGGGGGGTTTGGGAGGACCAGAGAGGGCGGGCTTTGTCCAGGCCCTGTTTGTGTCAGTGTGTGCTAGGTTGGGTGTTGGCTACCGGTGGGCGATGGGTCTGTGGGCCACCGGTCTCCACAGACAACACACCCCTGCCCTACCCCTGCCTCCACCCAGGCGCTTGTGAGTTAAGGGGGGACGTATGGAGGGGGTGACCGGTACGGGGTCATGTTCTTGGGACGGGAGCCCTTGCCCTCCATGGGGGCCGTGAAGGGTGGGGGTGGCTGGTAGGGAGGGGCGTTAGGATCCTCATCCCGTAGGGGTGTGTACTCTCCCACGGTGTCCTGGTTCAGAGGAGTGGTCTCGGGCACGCTCTGGTTGGGGTACTCAGGTGGGGGGAGGGGGGCCTTCTCCTCCTGCAGGATGAGTGGCATGCTAGAGGAGGGTGGGGGCTTGGAGTCATCTAGCTCATCGGCAAAGATGATCGGCACCCCCTTCTTGATAAAGGTGGCCTGGTCCTCGAGGGTCAGCTTGCCCTTTCGCTTCTTGCGATAGCAGATCATGGCAATGATGCCAGCGATGAGCAGGATGGCCGCGACCACCACGGCTGGAATGACGGTGTGGAGGTAAACGTCATCCTCACTGCTCTTCTCGGGGTCCCTGTCTGGCACCTCTGTGGGTGGCACGGTGGAGGGTAACTTCTTGGAGCCCACGGGGATAAACTGCAAGTGCTGGCAACTGCCGGCACCGGTCACGGCAATGCTCAGGGCCTTAAAATCAGGCTCCAGGGCGTTGGAGAAGGCAGGCCGAGGCTTCCCCGTGTCATCGGCAATCCTCCGGCTCAGTCCCGTGATCTGCTCCTTGGGACAGGGCTCCAGGGGTAGTGTGTTGTTGGTCCACTCCACGACGATGGAGCCCCGGGTGATGTTCTGTAGGGTGATGGTGCTGCAGTTTCGGTCCCCGAAGGCAAAAGCCAGCTTCTTTACCAAGGCGATTTTCTTGTGGATGTCATTCACTAGGGGCGCTGGGTCACCAGTAAACTTGGCCTTGAACCTTGCAGGGGCCTTGTCCCCTTGGGGGCGCTTATGGACATGGATCTCGAAGGCATCCACGGCCGACAGGCCCCCCTTGTCTGTAGCGTGCATGAAATACTCATGTTTGCCCACGTGGCTGCTGTCGGGCAGGCCGTACATTAGCTGGCTGTTGCTGTTGAACTGCACCCAGGACTTCTCGCCTACCAGCTGCTGCTCGCGCAGCTTCAGGGTCAGCTTCAGCTTGTCGGTGGTGGTGTCCTCGAGGTCATAGAAGGTGTCTGATGGGATCTTCACCTCAAAGTAGGTGCCCACCCAGGCGTCTACCCGGTCGATGTGATTCTTGAGCTCTGGGCGCTGGTTGGGCTCCCCACCACGAGGCACGCCGCTGGTTGTGGTTCGGATACGAGTGGGTGGGGAGGCCGTCTCCAATCTGGTGATGGGAGCTTTGGTGGTGACTCGGGGCACTGGGCGGGGGGTCCGAGGTTTCTTGGTTGGCCTGCGAGTCGTGGTGGCTGAGGAATCAGTCGAAGGCGTGGCTGGTTTGGGGGTAGATACTCGGGGCTTCTTGGTGGTAGTGGTGGGAGGCGTAACCACTGCCGTGGGCTCCACGTAGCCAGGAATGGTCATGGTTGGACGAATCTGGCCGGGAACCATGGTGCCAGCTTCTGATACCCGCGTGGGCTGGATAGGGCCCAGGGTGGGGGTCTGAATAATGGCACCTCGAGTCCGAATGGTTACCGTGGGCTTCCCGGGAACAGGCTCCCTGACGGGAGGAGCCAGAGTCTCTGTGGGAGGAGCGATGGCTGGTGATGTAGGGGTGGGCACGATCCTGGATGGTGGCTCCTGGATGGCTGTGGTTGGGGGTCCGATGGCAGTGACGGGCGTGGGTGTGGCATGGATCTGCCGCCGGATCCGTTTGGGAAGAGGGGGCTTCTTGTTGGCAATGTGCCAGCCCACCACCGGATAGCCGAGCTGGGCAGACATAGCACCCTCCCGGGCAGGGGCCTCGACGCTACGAATGTCAGGCACACTATTCTGGTTCAAGGAGCAGCCCAGCTTCCAGGAGAGTAGAGCCCCATTCTCTACCACCTTCTTTGCGTTGCCGGGGCCGGCCATGAAAGCGGACATGTCGAACAGTCTATTATTCACCACTGGCACCAACTTCATGTTGTGAAGCTCCACCTCTGAGAAGCTGCGCATCCTGTGCAGAAGGTCGATCCTCTGCTTTGGGGTCATCTTGGTGAGGTCAGCATCTAGAATCACTGTAAGGACCGTCACTGGCTCGTCAGCAGCACAAGCAGAAGACACTATGTCACCAGGGTCTGGCGACGCCGCCCTCACAGACTGGGGCTCACTGTGGTCCTCGGGGTAGACTTCAATGGAGAACACACTGGAGGTCTGGGGGACGTGACTCCCATTGGCGCCCAGGCGGGCAGCACTCACCGAGATATAATGCACACCCTTATCGGTGTCAAGGGGGAGGCCTTCCAGGGTGTGACTCTGTGGGTCCCAGTGAAGCCAAGATGGCAAGGCCTCCTTCCCGGCTGTAGACACCTAGATGAGACACAAGCATGAGTTACAACTGCATACCATAAACGTGTTCAGTGTATTTAACTCCTGGCCCCGCCGGAGTTCTGTGACAAGCTGATGAGAACAGGGTAATTCCACTCCAGTTTTCATGAAAGCAAGTTACAACATTCCATTTTAAGTAGAGACATCAGAGTTGAAAAAATGGTGGCTCTCCGCATGGCATGATGGCTTGTTCATATATATCCAGTCTTACCGACTAGAGAGGTGAGCCAGGGATTTGGGACCAGCCTGGGAAATACCACCCAAGGAAGAAAAGGAGGAACTCGGGGAGCTTTATTTTGACTGGCAACAGCAATTTGACTTCTACAGGAACCTGGCCAAGTCACAGGCAGGCTGGCACGTCTGGATTTTCAAGGCCATTAGGGAAAGTCTAAGGATGCCTGAAAGGCTGGCGGCATCCATGATCCCTGGAGAGTCCTTTCCCACTGGCAGTTCCTCCCTCTCAAAGACACTCACTTTGGCCCTCACTCACCATAGAGACGCTTGAAGATGAAAACAAGACCTTCTCACCTATAGGAACTCTCGATTCCCTCTCCAGCTTTCAAAACTTAAGAGGCCCTGGAGCACCTCTCCTCTTCCCGGTGCCAAGTAGTGAAGCAAAGGATGGGGAAATTCCTTTTAAGAGACAGTAGCCTTCAGACAATACAGGATTCTATCCCCATAATCACAGCCTAACAGAAAGAAGCCCCATTTGCCTCTATGACTCCAAGCTCCAGGCAGGTTGAGGCCTGACTCCAAGTTAGCTCTTACTGTCCTCATTTAGAACTGGGAGAAATGATCCTATCCTCATAGGAGTATAGGACAAGGCACATACTGACAGCCAGTTCTGATTCCTTCCTGCTCCTGTGGACTGTCAGGAAACTAAATAATGCCATACCAACAGGCTCAAGGCATGTCCAAGTTCCACTCCCCAGTCTTTCTTCCCAGATGACTTTGGACCCAATGCACAGTGGAACCTTATCTCATTGTTCATAACCCAAAGCATAAAAGGAAATGGGGCCTGAAGGTCGGGGGAAGGCTAGGATCTGATGAGAAACCAGGGAGAGGCTAGGAACAATCAGGGAGCTGCTTGCCTGCCAAAACCTGTCTGGCTAGGAGTGGGTGAAGCTGAGGAACATGAGGAGAGAAGAGGACTTGCTACAAGTGGGAGCCCAAAGCACAATATTCATGAAGCTGTCTGATTCCACCTCCACCTCTGATAGAGCACAGATGCTTCTGGGTAGAGCAGGAGCCAGTAGGGGTTGGGCAGCAACATCTGAGGCTAGAGGGAACTCCTCACTGCACCCTTTCCTAGCAAGGTCTCTACCTTCCTTCAGAGCTGGTCAATGCAACAACTCCTGATCATTCAGCTCCCTCTCCTTCAGTTCCCTCGCTCCTCAGCCACGCTGCAGAGCTGGGCCAACCTGCAGCCATCTATTGGCCGTGGACCATAGACAACACTTTGGAAATACTGGAAAATGAGGTGGCCATCGGACTGCTTTCTTTACATGGTGAAGGAAGCAGGAAATAGTCCCTTTCAAGAAGTCTGAGTCTTGCTGCTGACTCATACCCAGGATTGCCCTGTTCCTGTGCCATGAACTGCAACGGTGAGCCGAATCTGCTCAGAGCCTCCTGCAGATGAGGAACACAGCCACCATATGGCTGGGCCACAGGGAGACGGACGGCACAGTTTTAGCTTGGACTAACTACGGACCTAGGTCTTTCTCCTTAGATGAGGTACAGTACCAGAGTGGAAAAGGACTCAGGTAAAGCAGAGGCAGACCCATGGTTCAGCGGGTAGACAAACAGTATCAACCTGCACTTGGCTTCTACCACAAACACCAAGGCCACAGACCACATTTTGAACACATTTGTCCGACCCAGCCAGTTCCCTTCTAAGCTGAGCTACAAACCATTTGACCCGATGCAAACTGGTCTCAACTAAAAACAAAATCTCTTCCCTCCCAAAGTGAGGTGGCCCGGTGGCTCACAACTGTAATCCTAACTACTCGGTAGGCTGAGATCTGAGGACCGTGGTTCAAAGCCAGCCAGGACAGGAAAGTCTATGAGACTCTTATCTCCAATTAACCAGCAAAAAGTTGGAAGAGGAGGTGTGTATCAAGCCATAGACCACTAGTCTTGAGCAATCAAGGGCAGGCAGCAGGACATGCTCAAAATCAGACTTTCCATCCCAATCCCTAACATCACGTGTTTTCACTTTGTCCTGTTCTTTCCAATTTCTTGTCAGTAATGCGAGTACTAAGGCTTGCAAGGTCTCGCGCTCACACTTGGTTTTTTCACTCATGGTTAACACTCTTACCAATTGAGCCACATCTTTACTCCCTGATTTTTGCTGGTTACTTACTCACCTAGTTTGTAAATTTTTTTTTTCCCCCCAGTCATGGGGCCTGAACTCTGGGCCTGGGCGCTGTCCCTCAGCTCTTCATCTCAAGGCTAGGGCTCTACCACTTGAGCCACAGCGCCACTTCTGGCTTTTTCTGCTTATGTGGTGCTGAGCAATTGAACCCAGGGCCTCATGAATGCAAGGCAAGCACTTTACCACTGAGCCACCTTCCCAGCCCCTGTAATTTTTTTTTTTTAAACACAGAAGCCTATATTATCATTAAGTATTTGAGTTGATGAATCTGGGGAAATTCTATTCTGACAGCCCACTATCAAGGATGCCTTCCTTTGCCAACCCACATTTCCTGGTGTGGTGTGCCATGCTCACACAAGGGTCTCATTCAGAGCCAGGGAACACCCACTTGAGGCAGGAAGAAACTGCAGTTCATCTCACGCAGGCAGGGTTGCCACAAAGCTCTCAAGCATCCAGAGAAATACTCCTTTCATGAACTCCTCTTCCTGGCTAAAAAGAGTATCCATTGTTACCAGGGGAACAATTAGAAGGCCCATGCCAGCAGCTGAGAGCACAGTCCCAGAAGGGCTGCTCCCAGCCTGCGGACATCTTGGATTGAGGGCAAGTCCACATTGTTTGCAGGCTAGGAGGCTGAGAGGAACTAGGAATGAAAACCTCCACGAGCTTCATCAAAATGAGACAGTGGAAGGGGACTGTCGCTAGGTAGCCTAGTCGATTCATGCAAAGTAAAGCCATCTCTCCCTATCATCCTAAGAGGAAGAACTAAACCTGAGCTTCTGCAGCTCTTGGAGGAGCAGGCTGAGTGCCAAGGATGATGAGGGTTGCAGGCTTCCACCATGATGTTAGCTGAGGCATAGCACAAATGGGGCAACTGTGGAGCCTCACTCAGCCGGAAATGAGGTCGTTCTGGGGTCCTGTGATTCCTGACTAGGTGTGAGCCGGCTTGCCTTTATTGGAAACCACATCAAACAGAAAGGGCTGTAATTTCTTCCTCCCCCCTCCCCACCCCCCTCATTTAAAATCCTGGGTCCCTAAGCTGACTACACTGAAAATTATTAGAACCTCTGGGAAAAAATGTTGTTTTGTGTACATAAGGACGTGTTTAAGTGAATCAGACACTTGATAAAAGAGTATACAAAAGAACAGATACTGTAATTCTGAACTTCTAAGCCGGCACACGTTTCAAGTGATCAGATGCTGGTATTAGTGTTCCACTCTGGAGACAGTTATCAGTTAGGAGATTTTCATGTTCTTTTGGACCTGGTATTTTCCCAGATTTTTTTTTCGTGGCAGGGAGGTAGCGGGGTTGGAGGTGGTGGGGTCTTGAACTGTGGGCCTGGGCCCTATCCCTGAACTCTTCAGCCCAAGGTAAGCTCTTTTACCATTTGAGCCACAGCACCACTTCTAGTTTTCTGGTGGTTAATTGGAGATAAAAGTCTCACTGACTCTCCTGCCTAGGCTGGCTTTGAACCACAATCCTCAGATCTCAGCCTCCTGAGTAGCTAGGATTATAGGCATGAGCTACTGGCACCCACCTATATTTTCCCATTCCTATATCTTCCCATTCCTGCCTGATCAGTTTTCTTTTCTTTTCTCCTTTGTAGACTAGGTTATTTAGATAGGAGGTAATTACTGACCAAGAAGAAAGGGGGGGGGGGGGGGGGAGAGACACCAGATCAAGTGACAGTCCTAAGAAAGAAAACAGAGACAAAGTACTCAAAAAAAAATAAATAAATAACAAGAGGCTATCACAAGAACACAAGAACCTACTTAAAGCTGTTCCCAATGGCCAAATCTAAGATAATTTTAATACCAGAATAAATAATGCAACAATAAGTTATAAACCATTCAATATTGGAAAACGGTTGAAGGCCAAGTGCTGGTGGCTCAAGCTTAGTCTTTTGCTGAGCCTAGCATAGGCTAGTTTTTCTCTTGTGTATGACCAGTAAGGCTTTGATAATCCAAAGCAATGGGTACTGACAGGGTAGATCTTCATCCCCCCTTCCAGATCATAAATACTTGAGACTCTACTAGATAACAGAAATGTAACCAAAATGTACGAATTCAAAAGACAGGTTTTGGGTTTTTTTCTTAAGCAGGATCTCAATCTACAGTACAGACTGGACTCTAACTCACGATCCCCCTCAATCAATCTCCTGAGTGTTGGGATTATAGGCATGATTTAGGAAATCAATGCCATGGGCAGGAATCAGAAAACTATGGCCATAGGCAAAATGTGGCCCACCACCTATTCATACGTGACATGTCTTTTCTACTTTCAAATGATTAAGGAAAAAAAATATTTTTCAACATATGTATGTAATTAAATTTTCATTTTCAGTATACCTAAGTTTTATTGGAACATAGCCTACCCATTCAATTATGTGCTGTCTACATGTTTTGTATTATATTGGTGATCTGAAGAGTTAAAGAGAAACTATGAGCCTGCAAAGCCTATAATATTTGCTATCTGTCACTGCAGGAAATTAGTGTGCTAACTTCTACTCTAGGTGATATTCAAAATTAAAGGATATATTCTATCTGCCTGTCTACCATATAAATGTACAGAGTTGAGGGGAAATTTCAGGATTCCAAAGCAGATAGGACTATTTTTCCTTCACACAAAAGCTTCCTTTTTCACCCAATATCCATCCTGGTGCATCAGCCAGGACATATGTCTCAGATCCCTTGTTCTCTGGATTGCTTCCCCGAAAGTGGCAACGCTAAAGTTTGAATTCTTTGGGTTCTCAAATGGTTAAAAACCACATTAGATATAAATCAACCAGCAAACTAAAGTATGTGCACGCACATACATGCACACACACGTACACTTCTAATCTTATTTTGTAAGTCCTGGGACTTGAACTCAGGGCCTGGGCCCAATCCCTGAGCTTTCTCACTCAAGGCTAGTGCCATACCACTATGAGCCACAGGAATACTTCTGGTTTAATTGGAGATAAGAGTCTCATAGACTTTCCTGCCCAGGCTGGCGTCAAACCACAAACCTCAGACCTCAGCCTCCTGAGCAGCTAGGATTATAGGCATGAGCCACTGGCGCCTCGTCACTTTTTTTTTTAATTTACATATTTTTTCAGTGCTGTGGATTGAACCCAGAGCGTTATGTACACTAGACAAGCACTCTAGCACCAAGTCACATTCCTGGCTGTATCTTGGGGTTTGTTTGTTTGTAGTTTTGAGTCTTGAACTCAGGGCATGGGCACTATCCCTGAGCTCTTTTGCTCATAGCTAGTGCTCTACCATTTTGTGCAACAGCTCTGCTTCCAGTTTTTCAATGGTTAATAGGAGATAAGAGTCTCACAGGGACTAGATTTCAGCGTCCTGAGTGGCTAGGATTACAGGCATGAGCCACCAAATGCCCAGGTCTTGGTTTGTTTGTTTTTGATGCCTGTTGTGGGGCTTGAACTCAGGGCCTGAACATTTTCCCAAAGCTTGTTGTGCTCAAGGCTAGCACTCTACCAATGAGCCACAGTTCTACTTCTGGCTTTTTGGTGGCTAACTGGAGATGAGTATCATGAACTTTCCTGCCTAGACTTCGAACCTTGATCCTCAGATATCAGCTTCCTGAACAGCTAGGATTATAGGCATGAGCTGTCTTGGGTTTGATTCCTCAGCACCACATAAAGAGAAAAGGCTAGAAGTGGAGCTGGGGTTAGTAGTACAGTGCTAGCCTTGAACAAAAGAAGTACCCAGGCCCTGAGTTCAAGCCCCAGGACTGGCAAAAAAACAAAAAGCAAAACAAAAAAACAAAAAACAAAACCACCTCAGGGACAGCACTTCGGCCCTGAGCTCAAGCCCCAGTATTGGCACAAAAAGTAAATAAAAAAAAAAAGGAGAAAAAGTTCAGTCAAACCAAGTACTGATGGCTCCTATCTATAATCCGAGCTACTTGAGAACCTGAATTCTAAAGACTCTAGTTCAAAGCCAGACTGGGCAGATAAACCCAGAAGACTCACCACAGAACTGAACAAATTCTGGAGGGCCAGCTATGAAGAAAAACAACAATCAAGTGCTGGGAAGGTGGCTCAGTGGTAGAGTGCTTGCCTTGCATGCATGAGGCCCTGGGTTCGATTCCTCAGCACCACATAAGCAGAAAAAGCCAAAAGTGGCGCTGTGGCTGAAGTGGTAGAGCGTAGCCTTGAACTGAAGAGCTGAGGGACAGCACCCAAGCCCAGAGTTCAGGCCCCACAACCAACAAAAAAAACCAACAACAACAACAATCAAGACCACAAGACCCTGAGTTCAAGCATCAGTAGCAGCACATGTATATGTGCATGTGTGCACATGCGCCTACGCGTGCGTGTGCGCGCGCACACACACACAGAGTTCAAAGTACTTACAAGTTCTGTATTTTAGAGCTTACCACTATGGTTTAGGAAAGGTGACTTTTTTCTTATACACATGCCAGGCTTTTTAACAAAAATCCCTAAGCCAACAACCAAGAGACTGTCCACAGTGCATAGTAATGGCTTTTCCATGGTGAGTCCTTCAACATGGGAGCAAACCAGAATTACTGCAGCCTGCTACAACTGAGACCTTAGGAAAAGGCACCAAAATTAAAATGGAAGATGAGAGTCCCTCATTTGCACTTCATATCCAGTCTCACCTTGATTATTTCTCCACTGGAGGCAATTAAATCTGTTGGAATGGTCACTCGAAATGAGCGACCGACGACAGCTGTGCCATCAGGAATGCCAACCACGGTGGGAACAGCTTCATGAAGGTCGGAAAGCACAGAGTGCATGGATGCCTCCAGTTGGTTCTCCCAGTCCCTGACGGCTTCTGAAGGGTCACTTGGCCAGCGGGATTGCGCCATGGCCATGCAGAGTAGAAGGAGAAAGGTCCTCCCCCAGAGGGGGAGCAGTGAGTGGCCCATAGACATCTTTAGCATGGGCTTGAGTTTGCTCAAGCTGATAATCTTGCTAAGGAAGGAAGCAAGTGATATGGTCCCGCAGTTGGGTCCTCACCCTCTGTATACTTTCTCCATCCCAGAACACCCAGAGTCTGTAAAAGAAGAAGAGGAGATTCACATTTCAGCAATGGTCACTGATTCAAAGTCATGTACTAACCCCCAATGCTTCTGCCAAGAACGTCTACCCTGTCTCACATACCGCCCCATTAAGCTACTACTCTAGTCCCCTAATTACATTGTTCTATACTTCAGTGAACATGTGAACACCAAAATTAAAAATATGACATTTAAATCATTAAAAAAAAAAAGGAAATACTTCGGCAGAAATCTAGCAAAGTATGTCTAGAATTTGTATACTGAAAACTATAAAACACTGTTGAAAGAAAGCAAAGATTGAAACCCATAGTAAAAACACTGATGCCCCTAAATCAGTATATAGGCTTTGAGTAAATAACAACCACTAGAAGATCTCAGGCCCTAATCCCTGAAACCTGTAAAGATGTTATAAAGAAAAAGAGTCTTTGCAAAGGTGATTAAAGTAAGAGTCTTGACGTGGTGAGATTATCTGGGTAGGATCTAAATTCAATCACAATCGTCAGAGGAAATTACTGTGGGGTCCCTCCTCCCCCCACCCTAATCCCTCCCCATACACAGAATGAGATAGAGATGTGAAACAGAGATACTGACATGAAACCTAAGGCAGAGACTAGTGCTGAAGCCACAAACCAAGGAATGTCAAAGAATGCTGGCAGCCACAAAAAGTTAGAAGCAAGGAACAGGAAGTGGCGCTCGCTGTGGCTCAAGTGGTAGAAGACTTGCCTTGAGATGAAGAGCTCAGAGACAGCACCCAGGCCCAGAGTTCAAGCCCCAGAACTGACTAAGAAAAGAGGAAGAAAGAAAGAAGCAAGGAATAGATTCCCCCCCAGAGCCTCCAGAGGGAGCTCAGTCCTTGCCAACACCTTCATTTTGGACTTCTGGAGACCAGAACTATAAGAGAATAAATGTGCATGCTATTTGAAGCCACTAAGGCTGTGAAAATCTTTTTACAGCAGCCCTAGGAAACTAATACAAGGTTTAACCTAACTCATATTAAAACCTCACTAAGAAGCTGGGAGCTGGTGGCTCATGTCTGTAATTCCAGCTTCTCAGGAGGCTGAGATATGAGAATCGTGGTTCAAAGCCAGCCCAGGCAGGAAAGTCTATGAGACTTTTTGTTTTGTTTTGTTCTTACCAGTCCTGAGGTTTGAACTCAGGGCCTGGACACAGTCCCTGAGCTTCTTTGGCTAGCACACTACCACTGGAGCCACAGTGCCACTTCTCAAGAGACACTTATCTCCAATTAACTACCAGGAAACTAGAAGTGGAGCTGTGGCTCAAGCACTAGCCTTGAGCAAAAGTGCTCAGGACAGTGCCCAGGCCCTGAGTTCAAGCCCCACAGCCCAAAAAAAAAAAAAAAAAAAAGCACTGTATGTGTTCTATCTCCAGCAATGCAAAAATAAGAGAGAGAGATGAGAGAAAAATTAAAAATACATAAGCCATATAGAAAGACATACCATTTATATAAAACATATAAATTACATTGTCTATGAATTAATATACAAGAAATAAAACTTTGCACTTGATCATAAAAACTGCCAAATTCAGGATTATAATCACTTGAAAAGAAAAAGGGGAAAAGGGGAATGTCATAAGGGTCTCTAACTTTAGAACTTACTTCCTCAAACAGACAGCTTTTTGTTGTTGTTTTTGTTTTGTGCAATATCAGGATTTGAACTCAAGGGTTCCCATTCACTTCACTTGCCTGTTCAGCTGGTATTCTACCACCTGACCCATACTTCTAGCTTTGCTTTTAGCTGATTAGAGACAGAGTCTTATAGGCTCTTCTGCCCATCTGGTTTTGAACCTTAATCCTGATCATCTCAACCTCCTGAGTAGCTAGGATTACAAGTGTGAGCCACTAGCATTGAGCCTCTCTCCATTTCTTGACACCTATGCTAGCATTGAGCCTCTCTCCATTTCTTGACACCTATGTTACTAAAGTTTAAATATATTGCTGTTCCTGCAAGCAGAGTGCCTGGTATATAGCTCCTAAACCAGTGCTTGCACTTTGAGGGCTCACAAAAACATATCAAACACAAAGGAGAAAGGAATTAAAATTGCATGCCTCAGGTGTTTTCTAATTTGGTATGGCTCCCCCCCTTACTCTTCTCCTTTTCTACTGCCTTGTTCCAGCTCCAAGAGACCCTCTGCAACCAGCCAGCCTTCCCAGGACTTCAGATACATTCCTTGCTATGACTTTTCCTCTCTAACATCAGTACACAGCTGGGTCATTTTTATCTAACACGGACTCACCAGAATTAAATGCTACATTCACTACCAAGGTCCAAATGACTACAGAGACCTGATGGGAAGCAATTCCAAGAAGTACTTAATTATCAAAGACATTTGCATGGTCCTCCACCAGGAAAGGCAAGGAAGAAAATATCCTGATTTCTCAATGTCTAATGTTTTTCATACTCTGGTAAGAGTCTTCTCCTCAGGTACCTATATAGCACCCCAAGTTTAAAGAGGTTCCTTGCTGGGCACTGGTGGCCTATGCCTATAATGCTATCTACTCAGAAGAGATCTGATATCTGAGGATTGTAGTTCGAAACCTGCCCCAGGCAGGGAAGTGTAAGAGACTCTTATCTTTAATTTTCGAAGCCTGCCCCAGGCAGGAAAGTGTATGAGACTCTTATCTTTAATTAACTACTCAGAAAAAGCTCCAAATGGTACAGTGGCTCAGGTGATAGGATGCTAGCCTTGAGAAATAGCCTTGAATGAAAGAACACAGGTTCCTCATGTTTTTTTTCTATTTTTATTTTTAGTATCTTGTCCCTTTTGCAGCATTTTTATAGCTTATTGTATCATTTTTTTTTTGTGTGTGCCAGTCCTGGGGCTTGAACTCAGAACCTTTTGCTCAAGGCTACCACTCTACCACTTGAGCCACAATGCCACTTCTGGCTTTTTCTGTTGATGTGGTGCTGAAGAATCCAACCCCGGGTTTTGTGCATGCTAGGCAAGCATGCTACTGCTCAGCCAACATTCCCAGCCCCGGTATCACTTTTTAATTTTTCTGTTCTTATACACTATCTTAATTTATAACTTTAGTTTTGTGGGTGTGTGTGTGTGTGTCTTGTTCTGCTTTTTACTGTTACATAGGGTTTTGTTTTTGTTTTTTTTTGAGACAAGGTCTCCTTATGTAACCCAGGCCAGCCTCAAATTCATGATCCTCTTGCCTTATCCTCCTGAGTGTTAGAATTACAGGCCTATAAAACCACACCCAGCTTACGTAGTGCCTCTTTTACTGGGCTTTTCCTTTCTTGTACATTGTAACTCTGTTTAGTAAATGGCTCAGCTCAATCAACAGCCCAAGGAGACTAAATGAGGGAGGACAAGGATATATCTGTTGTAATCCCTAAAGTATGACCAGCACTCCCAAGGTATCCAGACAAGAGGAAAACACAGGCTCCTTTAAAAAAAACAAAAACAAAAAAACCTATATATCTTTAATTTAGTTTACTTACTTTTCCCATTTTTTTTCTTTCTTTTTTGTCAGTCATGGGGCCTGAACTCTGGGCCTGGGCACTGTCCCTCAGCTCTTCAGCTCAAAGCTAGCACTCTACTACCTGAGCCACACAATGCCACTTCCGGCTCTTTTCTGCTTATGTGGTGCTGAGGAATCGAACCCACGGCCTCATGCATGCAAGGCAAGCACTCTACCACTGAGCCACCTTCCCAGCCCCCATTTTTACTTTTTTAATCTGATTCTTATTTTTTAAATCTTATGTGAAAAACAGCATGCATTATGCGCCACACCCTGCCCTACAAGAGTATAAGCTCAGTCTGCTATCTGAGGACACAGGATGACATAGGGTGTCTATTTCATGGTCATGACTAAGTGCTCTCCATTTAGCAGGCAGGCAGGCAATGTCCAGGGCACAAGTCCAACTACTATGTGTTGGTTTTCCATGCTCTGAGGAGAAAAGATCTTTTTTGTAATTTGACAAAAAAGGAAGCTGTGTCTTTCAGATGCTGGCTTTCTACAAACAAGGGTCAAGTCGGCTTGTGCTAGGAACTCAGTGGGCTATCTACACACCTGTGTTAGAGTGTTCCTCTGAATTTTTTTTTTTTGGGGGGGGGTTGGTCATGGGGCTTGAACTCAGGGCCTGGGCACAGTTCCTGAGCCTCTTTGTGCTCAAGGCTAGCGCTCTATCACTTTGTGCCACAGAACCATTTCTAGTTTTTTGAGTGGTTAATTGGGGAATTTTCTGCCTGGGCTGGCTTCAAACTGTGATCCTCATATCTGAGCCTCTGAGTAGCTAGGCTTATGGGTGTGAGCCACTGGCATACAGCTAGGATTTTTTTTTTTAATACAAGTCTCATATTCACACACTTGGTCACTGCTGAGATCCTTCTACTCATGTTTATAGGGATGAAGGCTTAAAGAAAGGCCAACATTCAACCATAGTCAGGAGAATCGTTAGCCAGGCACTAGTGGCTCACACCTATAATCCTAGCCACTCAAAAAGCTGAGATCTGAGGATTGCGGTTTGAAGCCACCACAGATAGGAAAGTCCATGAGCCTTTTATCTTCCCCAATTAACTACCTAAAAAGCCAGAAATGGTAGTAGCTCAAGTAGGTAGAGCACTAGGCTTGAGGACAAAAGCTTAGGAACAGTACCCAAGCCCTGAGTTTAATCTCAGGATTGGCACCCCCCAAAAAAAGTGTTTAGGCTTCTTGACATTCTAACACCATGGCACACCAGGATCTATTCAGAGCCACTCAAGAACATATTTCAGCTGGACTTGTCTGGCTGACAAGAACGGCCAAAGCTTTACTGAGAGATGAGTGGCGCAAGAGACCCACTCCCCGTGCCAGCAGCCATGCCCACAACTAAATTGGAGCTCTTACTGCTGCCCTAGATGCCAGTGAAATCTAATTCCATAAAGAAGGCCCTCTCGGAACCTTGGGCGCTCTGAACACACCCACCCACCAGCCATGGTATACAGGGTGACACAAAGTCAAGCTTGCGAGACAGAGGATCCATTC